ATATTCCAAGAGTAAAGAGTTAGATTATTGAAATCTATTAGAAACTTCGACCATTAACCTATTTTTAAAATATTTTCCTTGTCTGGTTGCAGTGCTCTCTCCAAGTTTGTAAATAAAGCTGCCGATGGAGGTATTACTGCTCTTCATATGGCTGCATTGAATGGATATTTTGACTGTGTACAGCTCCTACTCGATCTTCATGCTGATGTGTCAACTGTGACATTCCGTTATGGAACATCAATGGATTTGATAGGTATATTTTGTTTCCTTAGTCTTCATAATATTGGTAACAACTTCATGTCTGTCACTTGAACCGGTTCTGTGATCATATTTTTATAGGAGCTGGAAGCACTCCTTTGCACTATGCTGCTTGTGCGGGAAATTTAAAGTGTTGCCAGGTCACGACTAATTCTTTATCATTAATCGTGAAACTATTACATTGCACCAACAAATAACTTCTTTGTCCTAGATTCTTGATGTTTACAATTGACATTTTAAAATATTGTTTCTCTATTTCTGAAGATTCTTCTTGCAAGAGGCGCCAGTCGTTTGGCCTTAAACTGCAGCGGGTAATGCACTGAAGACACACACTTACACAAACACATGCGCAGTAGATATAATTTTCCTGCTCTAAAGCATTGATTGTTTGACTTTCATTGTTACACCTTCTACTACAACACTTTATGAACTTGCGCATGTTTCAGATGGCTTCCTCTTGATATTGCAAGGATGTGCGGGTGTCATTGGCTTGAGCCACTGCTGTCGCCTAAATCTGAATTGACAATCCCGATGTTTCCACATTCCAATTATTTGTCACTGCCGCTCATGAGTGTGCTTAATATAGCAAGGTAAATCCCTGATGTGATGCCAGAGAATTAAATATTGCCAATCAAACTGGTGTCTGTTTTAATCACTAATCTTGCTGTAGAGTAGCAGATATCTTTAGCTTTTAAAATTTTTTTGAGTAAATATAATTTTCTTTGGCGATGATTGTGTTCATTGTTCTGATGTATCAATGCTGCCCTCACTCTTTTTGTTCTGAATTCCTTTCTTTCTATTAGTTCTTACATTTAAATGAGTTTTATGATGAGAATGTTGGTAATTGTATTTTCTTCTGGGGTCGCTTTCTGCAGAGAGTATGGGTTGCACTCCTCAGTAACCACTTCTGATGAAGCTGAGGCTTGTGCTGTTTGCCTGGAGAGAGCATGCACAGTAGCTGCTGAAGGTCTGCTTTTTTTTAAAAAATATGGCGTGCGTTGTCGGTGATTGTATATCAGTATAATTGCCTTCTAAGGAGGCATTTATTTAAATATTTTATTGTGGTAATTTTTGATGATATCATTTTATGACATTCTAGTGAAGGATGGAACCAAGATAGGCTCTTAAGCTTTAATTGTTAGTTTTTTGTTGATGATGATGGTGTTCTTCTCTAGACTTTGAAACCTACCTTTTCTTATTGGAGCTGAGAAGCACCAGTTTTTTAGTCTTTCCTTCTTCTTTTTTCTAAGTTTCAATTTCTTCCAGTTAGAGTTGTTTTGATTCTCTGTCGCTCTTATTAAGTCTTCCTCCTTCAACTGGAAATGTCATAGTATCAGTTATCTTAAAAAATGCAATGAATGGATTATTTTAAAATGAATTTCTTAATTTTTTTGTTAAAATAAGTTGGAAAACACTCGTAGGGACTAGAGATACTGAGGCCAACCTCACTTTTAGCTTTATTTGAGTGGATATTTAATGTTCTTTTTCGGTACAAGACTGAGAGACATTTGAACATACATACATAAATTTGCATATGCATAATTACGTAATTACAGAGAAATGTTATATGTTCATGACTTTACGTCTTCTAAATTTTTTTGTAGTTTGTATATCCATCTTCCACGCCCTAAAGTAGATGCAGTTTACTCTGCATGTATGTGTGTTGTTTAACTAACTCGGTCCGCCTTTTATTCAAGACCAATGCCCTGGCCTTGTAGACATATTGGAAGGAAAACCAATGGAGACTTAATAATCTTCTTCGGTGCAGGATTGACAGAGACATGTGAATGTGAACACATATATTTACGTATCCATTTATATTTGTAACAAGTTAGAAAATGTTATATGTCTATATTTGTGTGTTGACAGGGAAGAAATCTTGATTGCCTGTGTTAATTTACTCAAATTTATGATGATGTAATTTTGTAGGGTGCAGCCACGAACTATGTGTAAGATGTGCACTCTACGTTTGTTCAACGAGTAATAACACTTCCGAATTGTTAGTTCCACCTGGCTCGATTCCTTGTCCTCTTTGCCGACACGGAATTGTCAGATTTGTGAAATTGCCCGGTTCCTCAGTAAAGGAAATTAACTTATCCCCATCGCTTAGCCTGTGCACTCCGTGTATGCTTCACCATCGAGAACAAGACAGATCAGAGTCTGTTGGTTCCCCTGACGTAAGGAAGACTAGCTCCAATTCTGTTTCTTCAGATATTCTCTGTCCCTTGACTTGTAGCCCGTTTGATTCTGTAACAATCCCATTATGCACCTGCAACCATGGACATTGTCCAAATTTTGATTCCCATGAAAATGATACTCAAGAAGCATCCCCTCGTCGTTCACAGCCTACATCAAATGAACAGGAAAAACTTGATGGAATGAGACTCGGCAAAACTATGCGTTCGAGTATGTTTTGGAGTAGAAGAAGCTGTAGCAGAGAGCATCAGTGTAATGCTGAAATAAGCACGCGGATGGCTTAGGTAAAGATCATATTCATATATTCTTATGTTCTGGATTTTGAACTCGGGCCGAATATTCAATGGTTTCTAGTTTCAGGCCACTGATTATAGAAGCTGGACTGATTTACTTCTGTTTGCTGTGCTTTTTCATTTTCCCTCCAGTGACAACCAGGTTTGGGATTATTACGTGTTTTACATTTTCCAAGGTTGCTTAGGATGTAGAGCTTGTAAAAATTTACAGACAGAGAAATGACATATTATAGTGCAATTTCACGAGTTCTGGCATTTTTTTCTTGACCGTTATTGGTTTTATGAAATACGAATTACAGTCATGCTTCAATGCCTGAATCTTTGACATAAAGTTGGACATAATACCACGTGACATTATATCATTAGACTATTTTAAGCAAAGCCAACTTTCCTATCAAATCATCTTCTGTGACCTCAAATTATGTCAAAGCATTTGTTAAAGTTTTCTGGCAAAGTAACAAAACCCTACGAATTATTCACGAAGGAATTCCCCTTTTGCTTTCTTTGATTCATGTCAAGAAAATCTTACGATCTGTTACATCCAAGAATTATTATAGTTCACGTGGATGTCACCTGTCATAGAAAGTGATCCAATCGCGTGCCCACGTGTCATAGAATGAACTTTAATGCCTCGATCACCGAAGTTTGCCGGAACATAGTTGAACAAAGGAACGTAGGACTTTTAACACTTGTACAAAAATGTGATTGAAAGCCTCGGATAACTTCGGACATGGATGAGGTTCACCTCGGTGCAAACTCTGACAAATAACCATGAATTAATGCACCGTGTGTTTACATCAAAATATAATGTTCCTAGACAAATGTCATAAAAACACAAGTATCAATTAAGACTTGAAAACGAGAATTTAATTATAATTCTAACAAAATAATGAAGAACGCTAAATAAAAAAATGATTAAAGAGTTCTTATCATCTCCTATAAATAGGCCATTTTACAATTTAGAAAAGAGATATCTCAATCAAATACAAAAAAAATTGAATTGGAAAAATTATGGTGAAATCAAGAGAAAAAAATTCAGTTGACTTTAAAAATATTATTTATTCTTTGCGGTCAACATCGTCAATGGTTTGTTTGTAGATTGTACTTGTTTGATAATCATTATTGTGTAAAAATAATGTTTTGAATAATGATATATATATATATATTTTTATTTGAAAAGTGCGGTTAAAAAGTGAAAAAAAATAATTTGAATTTACATGTAAAATATTTTATTTTAAGAACGTGAGATTGAAAATGAGTATAAAAAATAAATTGTTTCATTTTGCGGCTAAAATAGAAAACAAAGCTAAAGGCAGTTGTCAAGTCTTATCAATCCATCAATCTAAACTCACAGAGGATTTTATACCTTATTCTAGGTGAATATTCACTCATAAGTAATTTGTTTTACTTATAAACAACTCCGGACTTATAAATGAATTTTTTTTTACTTATAATTAATTTCTTTTTACTACAAGTGATTTTTTACTTTATTATTTTTTAAGTTACAAGTTAACTTAAGTAATTTTTTTACCAGTAAGTAAATTTTTGTGTTCAACTTAACTCATGTTTTCTTAATACATAAAAATGGTGAATAGAGCAGTATAACTGTTTATGGAGTTGGTTTAATACATAAAAAGGGTAAATTTCTCACCATAATAATTGTTAAAAGTAAATTAATGTATAAAACAATATAACTGTTTACGGAGTTGGTTTAACATAATTTCACATCAGATACATGACAACTTCCAATTTTACGTGCTATATAAAAACTAATGTTATTCAACCTTTTTAGTGCTTCGTACTGACATATAAATTAATTCCAGGCACCCGAAATTGACATCAATCTACAACAAAATTTCAACATTAAAAAAAAAATATATATTGTGCAAATTCAATAACCATAAATTGTAAATTAATTTCTCTAAAATCGAAATTAAAACACATTAATGTTAATTACTTCCCATGCAGAAATGAGCACACGTCACAATATGAAGAAAAAATATGTTTTTATTTTCTATTTTCCTGAAAATCTAAAAAAGTTTTTTTTTTTTTCTGAAAAAGTTTAAGAAGCTTCCTGAAAAAAGGCCATCTCATAAATATTGTCGTCACACGTGACTCACCTCGTACAGACCCTTCTACACCTGTTTAATTAATTTTGAATAAAACTTCCCTGCCAGAGAAAAAAATACAGTTGTACATTCTCCTTTTACTCACTAAACTAGCGTCGCCCACCGTCTATCTCACACATCCTTATCAATTACACGTCTTTTGATTTCGCGAGTCAAAGCCTTTCAACCACATAATCTCCTGATCATCGACGCTATTCTGTCTATCCAACGGCTCAGATTTCACCCCCATCCCTGGCTGCTGCAGCTGCAATTCCATCTCCTGCTTCACCGAACCACCTTCGCTTTCCCTCCCGCGCTTCACACCAATCGGCACCCCGAACAATCTCGCGCTCAATTCCTCCGCTTCTAATCTAATGTTTTTCTCTACGCTACCGTTAGCGGCGGCGGCGCAGGGAGAGGCAGTGGCGACGCCTTGCAACTGTTCGCAAAATCTTTTCACCGGTAGTAGATCCAGCGGGTCAGTAGATTGAACTCTGTTATTATGATCGCCATTTTCATGGCTATTGCAATTCGTTGCGTAATTCGACATCATAACATAAACATTGTTGCACAGACTCTTCATCTTGCCAAGCTCTTTGTTTAACTGAACGTTCTCCTTCCTTAGCCTATCATTTTCTCTAATCAGGTCCGTCGTGCTGCCACTCGTTCCGCCAACAACTTGGGGGGAGTTTGACGATGAAAGAACTTGCTCTTCACCTGAATCTGTCAGGGAAGTCGCCCACGGCTGAGGTGTAGACTGTACCAGCTGCGTTGCCGCCTCCGTCACCGTCACCGAGGGTGATGGTAGCACCGCAGAGGTTGATGACGGTGACGCCATTTTCCGACGTTGAATATCGCACAGAAGCTTGTTCTCGCCTTTCCGAAAGCATTCGTTTGAGAATTCCCATCGATCAGGTACAACCTTTCGAAATCCCTACCAAAAAGACGACCAATCAATATATATATATGTAATACAAAATTATAAATTGGACTTCTAGTGAAAACTTCGAGGCGATTAAGCTTACGTAAGTGTTGAGTTGACGAACGAAGCTTGAGAAATTGTTGTGTTTGAAATACTTTGGAAGTAAATCTCTAGCAAACTCCGTAGGATTCCATACGATAAAAGCAGATCCATCTTCATTCCACGAGATGATATCATCAATGGTAGAATCATTCACCAGCTGGTAAGTTTTGGTCAAAAACGGCGTCGGAACACATCTCGGCATATCGCCGGCCGTCGATTCCCCTCCGTTTCGATCCACCGGTGGCGGAGCCATAGCTCCTCCTCCCTAAATTAACCAAAATCACATCAAACTCAACAACTAAACAAAGAATCCCTATAAAATCGTATTAAAAACATACTTTGGACTAATCAAATAACAAAACATAACCTAAATCGAAAATTCTGGTGCTGATCTACACGAGAGAGAGAAATTTGGATTCCCCGTCACATCTAGAACGGTCCGTTGAAAATTATTTTTGGCGCAAGAATATAGTGGGAGAGGGGGGGAATAAAGAGAGAAGAAAACTGAAAGGGGAGGAAAGAGCGAGAAGTTTCGGTGTAGAGTACACACACGTGTCAGATTGTTAGGGGGTAACAATGTAACAGCGCATTGAAATCTACTAATTAGACCCGTTTAGTCCACGTTAAATTTATTGTACATTTTTATCTGTCTCAAAAAAAAAAAAAAAATTTCTTTTCAATCACACTTTATCTAAAAAAATACTATTATAAAAATTATAACATTAAATAATGAGGGTCAAACGAGACTTTAACGTGGAAGCTGAAAATCTAAAAATACATTATTCTTCTTGAATACATTATTCAATTCGGATTTTGGAATATGAAAATATCTTGATTTGACCAATTCTGAGGTATATGTGAATTTTCTACCCAGATTACGGCGAATTATCTACTTTAAGAAAGACGTAGTATAGTTGCGCAAGTTTCAATCGAGTCAAATTTGTCGGGCACTGCCTTTTTTTCTTTTCCTGTGGTGCACATGGCCAATTGCTTAATTTTGAGGCAGCTTGACTTGGACCTTGGATTAACTGAGTCTGGTTTGAATTCACATAAATTCTTTTATTTTTTTAATTTTTTTTTTTTGAATCTAATTAAGTCACTCTACTTGACTATTATAAGGTCCAAGACAGTAAGTCAATTAAGAAGGTGATTAAAATTAAATTTTTAATAGATTTCTATAGAAGTTTCTGAAATGTGTGGTTAATATTGATTGTTTGACTTGAATTAAAATCGAATTTTAATCTGGATCAAACATGGGCTAAATCTTTAGTAACACACATTTAAAGAGGCTTATTTCAATTCACATACACGTCTATTTGACCAATTTAATAACTACAAATATTACCACCTAATTAATGCTATTAACTTCAAATAGGATCCATTTAAAAAGTAAAAACTCATTCAAATTGACCAACAAAATGGTTATAAAACCCATTTAATGCCCATAAATTCCAAGACAGCTATTAAAGCACCTCACGAATTAGATTTTAACGCATAAACCCTTTGCTATACTCGTACGGTCATCCAATTCCAACCATTAGAATAAGGACTTTGTTATCTGTACATCAAAATAGTACATATGCAGTTACCGAAAATGATGTGAAGGGAAATGATTGGATGGAAAAGTTGATTGTGTTTTAAACTGACAAATGATAGAGTGTTATGTGACATTATGTAATCCTTTATATAAATCTTAATGTATATGTAGCAAGATCTTTACAATAAATAGTTACTAGATTTATTTTCTTGACTTTCATAGCGACAACCCCATCCCTATTCCCTCTCCTTAAAAAATTGTGTAAATTGGAGTTTTTGAGGTTACAGGAGCTTTAACTCGGAGAATCTCTAAATTTCAGCTTGAAATTGAATCGACTCACGAATTATAATTTGGTTTGCATGTTAAAATGATTTGATTTTATTTGGGAAATTCACCAAATCGTTTTAAATGGTTTAATTTGAAAATATCTCAAAAATTATACAAACTAAACCGTTTGATCTTCAAGATTTTCTTTTCTTTTTTACTTGGGGTCCGTTTGATAGGCAAATGTAAAAATGAATTTCAATTCCATATTAGTGATAAATAAAAACCCACCAAACTCATAGGAATTTGTTTTAAAAAAAAAAAAAAAAACAAAGAAAATGCAGTTTAAAGTGGTTGTAGCTCGGAATTCAGTTTTCATTTCCACGTTGCAATCAAAAGGCCAAGTAAAATTCGTTTTCCTCGAATGTGATTTTTTTTTTGGAATTCATTGCAATCAAACATGACCTTAATTTTCTTTGTTAAATACATCCCATCAAGGATAGAACTAGAATTGTATTTTGGAGTGGGATTATAAGTTTAGAAATGAGTTAGACGAGAGCTTTTGAAGTGGGGGTTTTTTTTTTAGTCGAGTTTATGAGGTAAGAACATTATGTCAACTTTACATGGTAAAAGAACAAACAAAAGTTGTTTTAAGGTAAGAGTATAGCGAAATTCAGTAATCACATATCCTTGTCCAATTCCAAGAGCGGTCCACAAAAAAGCTCGTTCTTATCATTCCAATAATATGATATTGGTGCAAGACTAGAGAATATAGGAGCGTGTCTGGTTACGAAAGGTAAACGATGTAAGAGTAGAGATCTTGTGGGGAAATTAAAGCAATGTGTTTAAATTATTATTAATTAATTAATGTGCAGCTACAGATCTAGGAATTACACTATTCCTCTTGAATTCTAATTCTAGAAATATGAAATATCCTCAACATATGACCTATTTTTTTAGTATTCCCCAAATCCGAGGTTTAAATTTCATTAAGGAAATAAATCTTCAAATAGTTTACTTGGCATACTCTATCCATTGAGCTTATAACTTGATCAATTGATTACAATTTCATTAAATGCATTTTTGTGAGGAAAATTGGCGTAAATGGTTCCAAACATTTGCTCAAATTATATTTTTGGTCCAAACCTTTCAAATATGACACAAATGGTCCCCAAATATTTTCGTTTATGGTTCAAATAGTCCTTTTGAAGGAAAAATATTCTAAGAGGACGTTAGTTTTTTATGTGCAATGCAATTATCCTTATTTTGTTTTTATTTCAAAGGACAATTTAGTCAAATTACTTATTCAAAAAATAGGAAAAATAAAAACAAAAATATTCAAAAATATGAAAAGAAAAAAAAAAATAAAAAAAAATCCATCCATCCCACTCTAACCCAAGACCACAACATACTGCCACAACATTTTGAACTGCTAACAATTCTCGCACGAAAATTCAAGGTAGTTTTCTGTTCCTAATAGATATGTGAAGGGGAAATATTATATATATTAAGTACTTTGGATCATTATCATTTTCATTTTACGGATTTTCTGAAAATTAATTAAAAATATTTTCTTTTTCATTTGCCAGAAAGAAAACCTAAATATTTGCAGAAAATTTATGACGCGATTCAACTTTTTTATGCATTCACATTATCGTTTCAACAAAAATCAGTTTCTTATGACATAATGTGAAAAAAGTATATTCGTGTTGTTCTTTTTCATATGAAAATGTTACAATTTTTTTTTCTTGTTCTGTCTCAACAAATTGAAATATATAACATCGAGTTCAGTAACTGAAACGAGTAATAATTCTATTATGCTTTTAGGTCCTCGTTGCTGTTGAAAATTGTGAGGTATAGAGTTGTCAATTTTGTTCGTCGGCTCGAGTTGCCCGTGATTAGGCCCGAAAAAAGCCCGAGCCCGAGTGGCTCGTTGAGCCACACGGTCCGACTCATGTTACGGGCTATTTTCGACTCGTGCGAGCCGGACCTTAAAAAAAAAAAACCTTTGCAGGCAGCAGTTTTTATTTAAAAAAAAAAATTTTTTTTTTTTTTTTTTAAATAACCAAGCAGCTATCAAGGCAGCATGTAGCAAGCTGCTGCCAGCTTTTCTAGAAAAAAAAAAAATAATAAAAATTCGTGAACCGACTCGACTCAACAAGGCACGATCCGAAAGCTCGGGTAAACCTAATTTTTTTGGCCGAATAAAAAGCTCGAACAATTTTTATTCGAGCCGAGCCCAAGACTCAAGTTTCGGCTTAGCTCGTTGACACTCTTAGGTGTCCATCTTGCTCTTTTATCTTTTTTTGTACATAATTCTCAAATTATAAAATTTTAGGTTTTATTATTTATCTTCTTTTTAATTATATGTTTATATGTTGAGTTAATAACAGGTATTGGAGCTAAATCTTGAAGATCTATTGAAGAAATATCCTAACATAATTTCGGTGGTAAGACTTTTGTATTGTAATATCGATTGCTTTATCTGAAATGTGAAATACAATGACGAGTGAAAAATATTGATGGTTCTCTAATAGTTTAGTTCATCAGTGAGTTGGATGGAAATATATGAACTTTTTTTATATATAAATTTTTGTATTTTTCGTTTTCTTTTGAGCGGAGAAAGTCAGTTAACGATGTTGCCCCTCGAAAGTAGTACAAAATAAGGGCAATTCCATTGCACCCACAAAGGTAACAATCCTTTCGGATGGAAGCGTCAAAAAGGTCCGTTCTCTTTGCTGTTTTCAGACAATTTTCAGTTTTCAAAAACATTGAAAACACGTTTACTTACCTATTTTCAGAAACAAATTTTCAAAGAACGAGTTTAAATTTTTTTTAAAAATAAAAAACGCCAAAAAAGTCGTTTTTGCTGTTTTCATTGAAACAAGCCAAAATTTCATTTTTTTTATTTTTGAAAACAATTTTTCAAAATGACAAAAACAATGCGTTTTCAATAATCTTAAAATGGACACTCAAAACACAAAACCTAAATGAATTTAAAACTCAAAACTAAAAACTAAAATACGAAGAGAACATCCCTTAGTTGGAAATCATTTTCACTACATTTTAAAGGTTTGAACAAAAAATACAATTTGAGTAAAAGTTAAAAAACCATTATGCAGAATGCACAACTAACATTATTCTTGTGCAAATAATTGTGCTACATCTATATAATGGTTTACATACACATAATATGGTGAAATATGATTCGATCGAAATTTCTTCAACTAAATAAGAAGAAAAGCTCTGTCACTCTCTTTTGACACATCATTTATATGCAAATCATTACCTAACTCCAATATGTACAAGTAACATTATTCTTGTGCATTTGACTTCTTTTGTCATTTTATCACGAGTTTTAAATTGATTTTATACATTATGTTGCATTTTCACGAAAATGGAAGAATTTTTAAAGGTATTTTTTAAAAATTATTTAATTATTTCAATAATGCAAATTATATTGTTTCCTTTTTTTCTTTAATTTCTTTCAAGAATAATTTTTTTAATAATATAAAACCCCTGTTTGGTAGACATAAAAAATTTCATTCTCATTCTTCTACTCATTTTCAACCACACATTTTTCAATAAAATAATATTTTCCATCACATTAATAACTTTTCCTTCTTTTTCAATCACAAATTCTCCATCAATTTACTATTTCAGAATACATTCTTTCAAAATAATGTGGATCAAACACACTCAAAGTAACATATTTCCGCTATCTATTTTGTTATTAAATCTTGTTTGGTTTTTATAATGCTCAAACTGCTTATGGGTCACCTAATTATATTCAAACCACAATTATTATTTGTTACATTACATTTTAATTGAAGTTATAGGTCCTCAATTTTTGCACATTATAACGCTCATTTATAATAAATAAATAATAATAATAATAAATGAAATAAAAATCATTTTTTACAAAATCTAATGGGACTCAAACAGGGCTTAACTGTAACGAGTGAATAGATTCCGAGCCCTAGCGCTAGAGAATATCAGTTAAAAAGAAGATTAAAATTCAATTAGGCCTAAGGGTTCATCAGCACAACAGTATTAAGAATTTTAATGATATTCCTAATTTTTTTGGCCGAACAAAAGCTGGAACAATTTTTATTCGAGCCGAGCCCGAGACTCAAGTTTCGGCTTAGCTCGTCGACACTCTTAGGTGTCCATCTTGCTCTTTTATCTTTTTTTCTACATAATTCTCAAATTATAAATTTTAGGTTTTATTATTTATCTTCTTTTTAATTATATGTTTATATGTTGAGTTAATAACAGGTATTGGAGCTAAATCTTGAAGATCTATTGAAGGAATATCCTAACATAATTTCGGTGTTAAGACTTTTGTATTGTAGTATCGATTGCTTTATCTGAAATGTGAAATACAATGACGAGTGAAAATATTGATGGCTCTCTAATAGTTTAGTTCATCAGTGAGTTGGATGGAAATATATGAACTTTTTTTTTATATAAATTTTTGTATTTTTCGTTTTCTTTTGAGCGGAGAAAGTCAGTTAACGATGTTGCCCCTCGAAAGTAGTACAAAATAAGGGCAATTCCATTGCACCCACAAAGGTAACGATCCTTTCGGATGGAAGCGTAAAAAACGTCCGTTCTCTTTGCTGTTTTCAGACAATTTTCAGTTTTCAAAAAAAAACACGTTTACTTACCTATTTTTAGAAACAAATTTTAAAAAACGAGTTTAAAATTAAAAAAAGAAAAAAAGAAAAAAAGCCAAAAAATCGTTTTTGCTGTTTTCATTAAAACAAGCCAAAACTTCATTTTTTTTATTTTTGAAAACAATTTTTCAAAATGACAAAAACAATGCGTTTTCAACAATCTCAAAACAAAAAACTCAAAACTAAAATACGAAGAGAACAACCCTTAGTTTGAAATCGTTTTCATTGCATTTTAAAGGTTAGCAAAAGTTAAAAAACCATTATGCAGTATGCACAACTAACATTATTCTTGTGCAAATGGTTTTGCTACATCTATGTAATGGCTTACGTATACATAATATGGTTAAATATGATTGGATCGAAATTTCTTCAACTAAATAAGAAGAAAAGACTTCGTCACTCACTTTTGACACATTATCTATATGCAAATCATTACCTAACTCCAATATGTACAAGTAATATTATTTAGTGGTGTCAATGGGCCGATCCGAGCCGGCTCGGCCCATTGTCGCACGAGCCGAGCTCGTGGCTCGTTGGCACCACAGTATTAAGAATTTTAATGATATTTCTCTCCAAGAACAAGGCAGCTAAATCAACTACATGTCGAGATGCAAGAACTCGAACACCAAATAGGAAACTTTAATCAGTTGAAACAAGTAAAACTCGAATCTCAGTGGGAAATAAAATCTAGAGAACTTCAACAGTTCGGAAGGGTGACATTGCAAAAGAAAACAGAAAACCTTCAAAGGTTGCTTCTTCACCATAAAGTACACGGTAGGAATAAACAATTGAAGGAAGATCAATCAATATGTGGATTGATTTGAAGTTTTGTTGGAATCACTTTGGTGGGTCTCCGAGATCCTTTCAATACACAACTATTACATATAGCAATGACTTGGACACTTGGTACATTATTATCTCATCTAATGCTGGTGCAAATCAAGATCAAGAACAGCATTAGGTTGGTGACTTGGTTCATAAAGATATATGAGACTCATAGACGTGTGGTGCGAAGCAAAAAGTTATCTATCAATGACCAATCCATTGATGAATTGTTTGACACCAATGATGAAATTATCCAGAAATTTATGTGTAAAAATACCCGAAGTAGCCAAGGAGTAAATAAAACAAAGAAAATCAAGTATCAAATGCCCCAGAATCATGTTCGTTGACCAAATTGCACCCCTCAATGCAAAATGAGGAGGATATTGTCACAAAATACAATCTCTTCTCAGAAAACCTATTCCAATCCTAAATAATGGCTGTGTAAAGTGAGAAAATGTCTGACGACGTAATCATGAAACATACAGAATCCCACGTCGATAAAGAGCAAGGATTACAGTTGTAAATACAGCCCAAACAAAGATAATCCACCAAGCCATAAAGACTGTGATTTCTCTAACCAAAACAGAGCAAGGCAATGAATTACATACCCATCGGAGATCAGTCAGCAATTTATCGTCAATTTGAGAAAAGCCAAGGAGGAGAAGTAACATGCCAGCAGGTAGAAACAACTGCAGAACCACTAGACTTATGTAATGGTTGTGTAGGAAAACCTTTGCCCGGCTATAGTCTAAGTCGGGAACCTTGCTTGCGTGCAACCTCTGGTACCAACACAAAACAGCTTCATTCAAGAACATCTGCGCATTGGGGCGGACAGTCAGGATTTGCAAAATACCAGTAATCAACAAGCACCAAAGCCTAAATTTCTCGAAAATCATTCTTGACAGGCCAACATTCCCAGCCAATTCTGTGGCTGCCCCACTCTTGGTGGCTAAAAATGACCCTTTTTTTCCATCAATTGTCTTGTTAACAAACAATTCTGCAAACGGACTAATCCAAAGCAATGAAGTGAACACGACTGATAAGTAATTAGCATAAAGCAGCATTCTTGCAATCCATCCACACGAAATTATAGACAAATTACATCGAATTTGATCGGTTCCAAGCCAAAATGCACGAGCATTCCTCAATGTTGGTATATAAAGAAAACCCACGAGGCAGCCCATGAAAACAGCAACAGTAAACTTCCCAAACCCATCCAACGATTCAAATCCAAAATCAAGAAACCACTTAGGAACAACATCATAAACAACAACTAACCCTAAAAGAAAACCCAAAAGCCCCAATATGAAACTCAATTGCTTGTCAAATCTCTTTGATGCAGACCTTTCAAAACTTATACTAACAATTAAAAACAGATCCCTACAAATTCCCACAATACCCAATAAAATAGGGATTATAGTCCCATTTCTCACAATGCCAGAATCCGAATCCACCCATAAGAATTTATGAAGCAACAATGATAATATGGCTATAATTGTAAAATTAAAAGCACTATAATACTCTCTGAAATAAATTCTTGATTGTAATTGACTTTCATTGAGTTTCAATCTAAAGATCTGAGCTTTATTCTCATCAAACTCAAATCTTTCTTTGGATTTCTTTCTGGGTTGTTCAGAATCAAGTGCACCTGGCCTTCTAATGGCTGCTCTGATGCCTTTTGAGGATGTGTTGTTGTTGGGATTTACATCATCTGGGTGTATGTAAGTGTGGAGGCCATAGAGAAACAGGGTAGGGATCTTGAGAAAAGAAAGAAGGAGAGTAAGGGAAAGTGCAAATACTGTGTGGAGGATTAGATTATTTGCTGAAGATAACATTTTGTAGAAATTACTGCAATTATTTTCCTAGATTTGATGAGAGAATTGAGTGTTTAATGAGGAGAAACTGAAGATGAATTCGAAGCGAGAGAATTCGAAGCGTATGCTTGGCTAGTTGTGTCTGGGTTTGGAACAAAGCCTCCAAGGTATTTTGCAAAACTAATTTTTATTCAATTTTTGATAAATTATTTTTGGTTTAAATTTAAAATCTTAAAATATTATTTTATTCGTATTGTTTTTACTTTTTTTAATCAAAATTAAGTATATAATTGTCTTTTCAACTAAAATCTCTAATCGTGTTCTAGAGTAAATTATTTGCTCTTTTCTTTGTATCTTATCTTGAATTCACATTATTTTTTGTAAACGAAAATTTCTTTCAATTTATGCAAGATATATCTCAATCGTTTAACCCACATTCCTTTATGTTGTAAATGCACATACGAAACACAATAACAATCGAATACATTTCCAATGTCTTAAAAATCAACAACAGAAGAAGAAGAAGAACGGTTTCTACCTTGTGTTCAAAGGACAAAGGTAATAAAATAAAATTCTATATTATTCTACAAATAAAGTAAAAGGAAATAGGGGTGAGTTGTTGTCTCGCGGACTCGTGAACAATGTTGTCTTTGAACTTGGGCAAATGTGGATGCGACACTTACGAATATGAGACTTGTGGTTGTATCACTCTCCTTGGACAAGAGGAGATTCGTCCTGAAATCTTGAACATAGTGTTTTTAATTGTTGTCTCCTAATGACAATAAGGATGTTAAGAGGTTCGAGTCGTTCGTGATTAAAATCGTAAGTATACACATTATCAATTAAAATAATCTTCATTTGTGATTAAAAAAATATTGCTTGTTCTGAGATCTGGATGTTTAATCCATTTTATACTATTTTAAATAAATGGATTACATTGTTCTTCCAATAATAGATATAAATGTCACATGTTCACATGCTATATGTGTTCGAAAGATTAGTTGAGAACACGTGCCCTGAATCATGTAACTTATCCCAACATGGAGGAGTGTCGAATGACTTAACCCTAACTAATAAGGAGAGCGTAATCCATACAATGGAAGACAAATTTTACTTTAATAAGTTACTATATTAGTAGGTTGAACGAAGTTGTACACATTTTGACTTTCGTTTTCTTTCGACGACATGGAGAGTTTGATGGCAGAGTTGGGTATAATTGATATTTAAGTTTCTTTGTTATTGTAGTTTGGTCTTCTATGTGTTTGGGGTAATCTATTAACACTTTAATTTTTAATTTTTATTTTTCTTTCCGGCTCCTAAACAAGCCGATGAGTGGCTCATACAAAAACTTAGCTCAAGTCACCCGAAGAAATCTCCTTTGGGATCAGCAACTTGTCTCACTTAACATCCCTAAATGACAATGATACACTTGATAAGTTAACTATTGCATAAGTTCTCGTCGATATGTCTTCCTCATTCATTCTTACCAAATCATGATTCGATATATTTGCATTATCTCTCACCCCTTAGTACGCTTTTTGTCATTTAGGATTGCAGTATTACTTGGATTGAATCATATTACCATGTTTTCCATAAATTTTTTGCAGTCTATAGTTTGATTCTATCCTTACGTATTTTCACACAATTTATTTTTATGCTTTTTGCACCAGGAATGAGAATTCATTCGACCCTAGCTACAGTTTGGGGGAAGCACGAATGTATTCTTCGAAAATATGATGTTATCTCCAATTTAAATCTAAAGCACAGTGACACATAGAAGGATTTATTTAAGGCCTCATGCTTTGGCCACATTTTTTACATGAGTGACATTCACCTACAATATCAAGTCATCCACAAAATGCTACTGATGGAAGTAAGACAGAGTGCGTGATAAGGTTGAGAAACCTTACAACTACCGATGGAGTTCTGTGGCAACATATCTAGCTATCATCGGGTATCATTTAAATGCGTTACGCGGACCCTTGACTACCGTATCTCATGGAATACATAGCTACATTGCAGAGTAGCTCTACATGTCGTGTATTGTTGAAATTTATGTTATTTCATTGATTTATTTGGTATTTTCAAAAAACCGTTTAGCTGTTTCTGATGTTTGTCAGCTTGGTATTATTCTGAGCTAAAAGATAGTCGATAATGGTTGGCTTTTTGAATGTTAATTTCTACTGTGTTGAATTTTAGTTAAAAATGCATACTATTCAGATTATGTGCCTTTTTATCTATTCGTTTTCAGGTACAGTTAACCTACAATCGTCGGAAATATGAATATTTACTTTTATAAAAAAGACATGTAACGTGCATAGATATATACACTTTAATTAAATTTATTACACAAGTATGAATGTGCATGTGTATTACCTGATCATTTCGATTACAAATGCAGCACGAATATACTTTGAAAATAAACATTTCGATTTTTAATACATGTATTGAATAATAAAATTTCCATTTCCATTTTATAGGCAGAGACAGACAGATTAAAGGTATTTCCATATACGTCATTTCCATTTCTATTTTGTGTATTACCTGATCAGTATGGTGCACAATAATAAAATTTGATTTTTTTTTTTTACAAATCTTGAAATGGAAGATTTTAAGGTCAATATTTTGGGTACTCTTTCTACGATTATATAGTATTATTTAAATATAAATCATTCCCTAGTATAATGGGAAATATTATTTTATTGAACTTTACTACACTTACACACCTTGGTACACAATTTCCTACACAACCCTCTCACATGTGTGTGGGCATATTGTGGGACCCACACATATGTAAGAGGGTTGTGTACGAGATTGTGTACTAAGTGTGTACAAGTAGCATTTTTGTATTTTATTATAGGGTATATGTGATTTTTTTCCCATTTGATTTTTAATTAATGATCATTTCCTTTGAAAATATACTCTCCTCAGAAGCTGTATGGAAATTTCCATTCTTTCCTTTTGCACGAATTCAGGATAATCTAAAATACAGAATATTATAAAAGTAAAATAAAGATTACCCTTAATATTTATGCAAGTTTCATTTGATTTTCAAGAACTCTTCCAAACCTTAAGTAACCGATCTTTTACTTTATAATCATGTTAGGAACCTAGTTCAAAGTATTGGAATGAATTCCAAAGTAATATCATGGAGATCGAGATCTACATATGGATAATTATCTGAAATAAGGTAATATCACGACGACACCAACTTTGGATATAGAAAGTGAAAGTTCAAATTATTTACTGATTTATTTAGACCCAACGTGGGGAATTATCCAATTAAAAGCAACAAATCACTTATTAATTGTTTCTAGATGATTAATCAACCACGTCAATTTATCATATGTTGAATTACCACAATTTGTAATACGAAAGTAGTAGAGAACACAAAATTGATCACGGACAAAACCTTTAGCAAATGATCAAAAATTTCGGGCACTTTTCAAGTCAATAATCTACTATTAACGAAACAACTTATAGTATGGTCCAGACCCGGCTAACTCTTAATCTCCTCTAATCTTATTTTTATGTAATTACCCTTGATCCTATTAGATTGCGTACTTCTCACATCAGATCCCAACTTCTAGTATATCACATTTGCCATCTTGGACTCCGTGCTCCACACACTAGCTCTCAACCCTAATATATTAAATTAACTTTCGTGGACTGCGTGTTCACTGTTTCTACATGAGCTCCTGGTCCTTGATATCGTTTATTTCAAGTGGATTAGGTGGTTTCATGTTTGATCAAAAGATCTTATGTGTTTTGATATGTGGTTTAGTATGGAACAATATGACTTTATCAACAAAATATGTTTTGGAAGAATTTACGAGTCAAGTAATATGTGGTGGTTGAATCTTGAAATCAACGAATGTTTTGGATCGTCAAAAAATTGATCTCTATGAAATAAATCTGATTCAACACACTTTGAGATGTTTATAAGTTTATATATTTATAATGGATAGGGTTTAGAATGGAAAAAAAAAAACTCAAAATCAGCTTAAAATCAAATATTATTGCTCTTCGGTTAACCATGTCAATCCAGTTTCAGGCGAGCGGTAGTGAAGTAGTCGTCAGTATTTTTATCATAACTTTCTCTTCTGATATCTGATTGAGAAGATTCAAAACGCTTTGGAATAACTCAAATAACTACAATTTTTCTAGGGTAACCTCATCCAAATCCCTATGTTTTCTATGTGAAAAAATGCGTTGCAAATTGCGACTGAGAATTTGGAGCATAATTTGTACAACACTTTTACACTTCTTTCTTTTAATTACATTCTAATGATCATATATGATCTTCTTGGACATCTTGGACTAATTCAAGACCTATAATACAAATCCTTAACTATTTTGCTATAAAATTATGACTCAATAACTCATATTTTGACTTTGATTATAACTCGATAAATTTCTAATACAATTCAATTAGGACATGATTTTGACTAAGAAAATTGCCAATTATAAATTTAGAAATGGCCAGTTATATAATTTGGACTTAACAGGATGAAACAAAAATAGCTCTGTAGCAATAAGCTTTTTGGGAGTATATGCTAGCCAATACTTTGTAGAAATGCAAGACAGTAAAGAACGCCTTTGTTCACTTGGTCGTGACTCGTGAACAGAGTGAAAATATAGTGCAATGTGCTTCATCCTTGACAAGATATTGGATTTACAAACAGAAAACTAGTTCTGATCTTTGTCGCAACAAAAAATTACTGAACCAATCCATGGTTCCAAGCATTACCAGACATCACACGACTCCAACACATCAAAATTCTATACAACTGTGAATCAAAATACAATTGCTTTCTTATCACCTAAGAAAGCAAACTTATTACACTAAATTCAGAACAGAAAGTACCTCAACTCCATGACACCTAAGCACAGGGATCTCAAATGTATACACGTTTATTCGTTGATTGTAACCTTGGAAATTAAGGGCACAACTGTAGATGGAAAATCTGTTCTCGGATCAGCAAGTGAATAATATGCTAGAATTTGGGCTTTATTCTCAAAGGATACATCTTCTCCATTTTCATTAGGTTCAGCAACTTGTGTTGCTGAAATGAACTCAGTAATCCATTTCGGACGCTTCTCATGTACCTTATCCCAATCAGCTCCAGATTTAGTGTATCCTTGCACCCACAAACACCTCAACGAAGGTAGTCGTAGTATAGCATCTCCTAGTGCACCTTCACTGAAACGGCATCCCCTCAGTTCTAACTTTTGGAGGCTAGGTAAGTTTTTGGAAAATTCCTTAATACCATTATCAGATTCCCCAACAAAACCCAAACGCATCCATCTCACTTTTGGACTATACTTTCCAATATAACTGAGACCCACATCTGTTAGCCCACCAGACTGAAGATACAAAGTAAGGCCAGTAAGTTTATGACAACCCATCAACAAAGATCGAACTCCATAATCAAGCGGAAAATTTGCTATTGTCTCTTGGTTTACAATCAAGCGCAACCGGAAGCTATAGAGCTTTTTCAAGTGAATGCCTACACATTCTAGGGATGCATTTGTGATGTCAGTCACAACAATAGCTAAGTATTCCAATTCAAGGCATCCCTGTGACAGAGAAATTAATCCTCTGTGCGTAACTCCTTCCACGAGAATACCATGCGCAATCCTCAGTCTTTTCAGTTTCTTACAAATCTGAGCAACAACTTCCAATCCTCTATCTCCAATCACGGCCCTTGCCTGTTCAAAAAGACAAAATCATGTTTAATTACTTAACTTAAAATTTTATTAATGAACACAGAAAATATTACATAGCACATGATGTCTAAACGGTTCAACATTGTCTATATAAGAGCATAAGAAAATAAATGTGATATTCTTACTCTTCAAATTTAATAGTAACTTCGGAGTATTTTGTCTTGTCAATTTACAAGAAACTTCATCATGGCTTAAAAATTATCTTACCAATCACCACGACCAAGACCAAGACCCTAGTTTTGACTCAGCTAACTTGTTGATTTTCTGCATGGTTGATATTCTTAGAAAGGATTGCTGGCACTAGACTGATACCATTCTCCACATATATTATAAGTTCGTAATATCAAATATTCTCAGCAATAATTTTTATTTTTTTTTATGAAGGATGGCCACTTCTATTTATGTGGCGTGTCTATGTAAGAAACTGACACTTCTCAGACTTTCAATGATAAGTTATAGACATTATGACGTATTTTTTTCATATATTTTTAAAATTTTAAAAAACTTAGGAAACACAGCGCAAACACTCCTAGGGCACGTGTGACACGATGTCCTATATTATTCATCTTCTTTACAGTTTCACAAGAAAGAAACATGTCAACACATCATCAAGGACGTGCAAAGCTCTATTTTGAAAATTTGAGAATATAAACAAAAAATGTAGAGAACCTTGAATTATCTTGATACAACAAATAGACATTTCTATGATTCAAATTAGATTTCACTGTAAAAGAAGTTCTAATTTTGTTGAAAAATGAAAAAAGTACAAATTTAAGATAGATATAGAAATATATAATTTTAATGATTATATTGATGTTCCCCCGACGTGTCGTGTTCTACCTCTTTAAAAAATCAAATGTCGGTGTCATTGTCACACCATGTACTTTTTGCATGTCCGTATTCATGCTTCTTACTTCTTTATCTATCAAAAAAGAAGACGTGTGGCCTACAAACTTACTTATGCCTGATTCTGCCGGAGAGATATTACATTCAACAATCTAACGAAAACCAACAAACGCTAAAGGAAATGCATATGTAGCCAGCATATGCATGATTCCACAAAATAGGAGAAACACAAATTTTAAGTTTTACCTGAAGCATTTCCAAGTTGGGACACCTTTCCAGTAAGAGACAATGACTTTCTGTATCAAGCATAGCACATAGCAGATCCAATTTTTTAAGTCGAGCAGCAAAAGGAAAGACAATCTGAATTTCAGCTCCTGACAAGTACTTAAGACCCAAGGAGCACAATCTTTGGGGAAATGGTACCGCCGCGTACCTTTCTAATTGCGCATTTTGATCGCCTTCGCTACCTATTGGTTGTTTGCCTAAACAGCTCCCACAAAACTCTTCTAATGCAGCTGCATTGCGGAAGAAACCAACGAGGTCAGCAATATCAGAATCATTAATTTTCACCACGACCAGAGATGGGCAGTTTTTGGCTATCAGTTCAAGGTCTCCAGATTTGACTTCGACAAGATTTGTCATGTAGAAGTTCAAATTTTCAAGAACTGTATTGTTCAGAGCAAGTTCTTGTAGCCATTCCCCGTCATTTTCAATTATTGTGCTCGCTTCCATATCCAAGGTCATCAAACTCCTGCAAAGAAGTAAAGAATTTTTTTTTAAAAACGGAACTAAAATAAATCATTCAAATTATATTTTCAAAAGGGGCTATAGATTTAAGGGAAATTCACTTTATACATATGATTGCGAGGAAAGATAAAAGACATAATCTAATCCCTTTATATGACTGCATTATCACTGTACTCAGGCCAATAACCCTTATTCCAAAACCAATGCATACTCATGGACGTTTATTTGGCCACCTATGTGTAATGGTTGTAAGAATTCCAACCAAAACCAGCTATCACACTTCACAATTTACTCGCACAAAAGTAGAATTCAGCTGGAATTCAATAATTAATGAACCGAAATTAATAGCTGAAATAAGAACTAACTGAAGATAACAGTATAAGAAATTAGATGAGAAGAAGATGTGAATCTAGAAGAGAGGAAAAGGACTGGAGATCCGTCAATACATTCCACCCCCTACTCTTCCCTCTAACTGTTAGTTATAACAATAGAAAAAAAATGTGGTTTGGTTGTGTGTTGTGTTTTGCACTTTTACAATTTAAAAGAAATGAAATGGTGTCGTTTCCTCATTTGAATTTCTGGTAAATCCATGGGTTTCTGCTTTTCTTCCTTCCGCAGTCTCTAATGATATTTGATCTCTGCTCCTCTTCATTACACTATGCGTGTTATTTCTTCACTTGGTTATAATTATATGATAATTTATTGAAGAAATCCATATCATTTAGAGATTATATTCGAACTTTCAGAAGCACAGCACATATAATGAAGTTCGGTTGAAAAAGAGAAGGGAAAAATAATATTGTTTAAATCATCTTGCAGCATAAAAAAATCATATGCGGCAAAAGATTACCAAGTAATGAGTTAGAATAAGAAAAGAAAGAGAAATTTGATGATTTTCATTTTAGTTCAGAAGTAAAAGAAACATGCATTATCCAAGTATGTTCTATTGATATGGACATAGTACATTAACTATAGAGAATGGGAATAGAAAGGGGATTAATCTTTAGCAGATAAAGATAGTAAATAAGGCATCACAGACCCCAATTCCGAGTTGGATGCTTTCTTGTTTTTAATCTACATCTAGTGACCCCAATTCCTCTGCAATCCCATTGGCCTTCTTGGGATATCTAAAATACTATAAATGTATTATTTTCAACACACGATAATTGATCAATGCAATGATTCGTCATACATATAAGTACTATCTTTTATCTATATTTGAAACAATCATCTGCTAATCTTAAAATGTCAAGAAAGAATATGGATATGATAAAAAATAATTATAATAAATAACGAAAATTAGAGAATTGTAGACTTTTTTAACTACAAAGTCGAAGTAACTTTACCTATTTTTTTTTTTAGGCTTCCAAAAGGGGTTACATCTTATTCTAGATTATCTAAACTATTTGAGGGACATCTCTAACATGGATCTGTTAATTGACTACACACGTCTATACATAAATTTATACAATGCACCAAGAGTTTGTAATACCTAGAAAAACTCAGTCAAGATCCTGGAAACTCTAAATCAAAAATGAACATAAACACCATGGCTAACCGAAAGTTTTAAAGAAAATTAGTGAAAAATAGGAAAAGAAATAAGGACATAACAAAATTAATACCGGAGAGAGCGACAGATGTGCAAGAGTCCATTAGTTGAGAATCCATAGCATTTATCAAGTTTCAACACTTCAAGACCCTTCCCAATTGCTGTAGCGGCAATCAATTCAAGGTCCGAGTCCTTAACTATCATTCTACGAAGATGCAGCGCCTTCATTTTCTTAAAAGACTTGACAATTTCCTCAATCCACGGCGTCGCATAGCATCCCCGGTCACTAGGAATACGGGAAGTGCGTGGTTGTCCCTCGAGCTTGAGCGACTCGAGGTTGGGGAACCGTCGTGAGAGGCGGTCTGGAGTGGCGGCATAACACAGTGCAATAGTTACATGCTTTCGCGTGAGGGAATCAATTTCATGCCACTGTTTGCACACCAAAGAAACCGTAGCCCGATCTTGCGGTTCCTTTACGTACGGAATCACGCAGTCCCATAGAGGGTAGTCAGATGTTGCGGCTATTTTACCGCTACCACTTGCCTTGCTCATACTCCAAACTGTACTATGAGTCTATGAGTCAGAGTGTGAGAAATGATGAAGAAAAGGGAAATGGCGGTTTCTTGGGCGGCTTTGAAACTGAAATGAAAATGCTACGAGTAACCAATTCGGAAAGTGGGAAAGCAACTCGAGAGAGAGAGAGAGAGAGCCCGAATTCTGTGAAGAGTTTTTTTTTTAAAATCTTGATTCTGCCTTCTCCGTCTTCCTATTGGCTCAACTCATGGAATTTTTTTTATCCTCTGCCACTTGAAAATTTATTTTCCCAAGGAATGAAATATTCAAGTAAATCAGGTTGATTTCTTTATTTTCTTATTTCAATTATAACTCATTTTTATATGGGTTTCTATCCATTCCATTTATGTATGTTGACTTTCTTTATTTTCTTATTTCAATTATAGGATAAATCTATATGTACATAATTATTGTACATAATGAATTACATAGACCCATATGAAAGAAATTCAGTAGTGGAAGTGAAGTGTGGAAAAGTCAATAATTGTAAACTACCGATGAATGTGCGCCACATATGTCAATTATGTAATGTATTATGTAAATGATTATATACTTGTAATATGGTTCTCAATTATATAATCATATTTCTTTATTGGGAATGTTTTGTTTTGTACATTTACGAATATACCCGTATTTAATTTACCTAGTTATAACCAATTATTTCCATTTAATCTTGAAATTGTACAATTATAAAGATACATATTTTTTTAAAATCATCCAAATAATTTATGAATGTGAGAATTGAAAATTAAATAATTCAATGTATTTACTTCTTCCAACAATAATTTTCTACTAGCCGTTGATGATTACATAAGGGTAAAATGGGAAAAATTTTGACAAAAATTTCTTTTTCAATAATATTAAATAAGGTTTATTAATTTGCGTGAAAAACAAAACTACTTTATATAATTGGGACGAATGAAGTATTTTTTTTAAATTCGTTTTTTATAATTAATTTTTGATTTCACATTCTTTCAATAAATAATTTTGTACGTAAACTCATAAAATTGCTATGCTATTTAGTCACACAATCTTTAAAAAAAATTCACTTTTCACAAAATTTAATCTCAAAAAATCTACATCTAAATTGATCTTTCGTGACACTGAGAAGGCAAAAATAGTAAAGTTAGTATTTATGGAAATTAGGCAATGTATTTAACTTAAAAGGAGATAGATTTTTTATTTTATTTTATTTTCCCCTTTTGTAACACTAATAACGTTGCATAGTGATGAATCATGTTGACTTTGTCACCTAAATTTGGTTGGATTTTTTTTTTTTGAAAAAATATTGTTTCTTTTATTCAAGCGTTTTTATTGGAAAAAAATTGTTTCCTTTATTCTACGCATTTTTATACTATTTTTATTTTTTAAAATACTGTTAAGATTTTGACATACCTCATTATATAATTGACCCTTCTTTAAGGGTTGAATTATTACACAAGTTAGAATAGATGTGAAAAACACAATTGTTGTAATTCTTTTATCCGTTATAGTTGAATAAAATCTCAAATTCCTCTATCAAATTAAATTACCGTATTTGAGTTCATCTTGTTGTTACAATCAATGCTTCGTATCGTGCAGTACAACCTCGTTCCACCCCAACAAGTGGTATCAAAGCTATTGATTTTTTATTTGTTCAATTTTTTTCTTGATAGCAACTATGAAATATGTTATTCCGTTTTTGGATCGCAACACTGGATTCTTGTTGTAGCAGGTGAAGACGCAAGCACTAGTTGCTCCGATGGAGTTTGATGATGCGTTATTGAGATTAACAAGATGTCCCCAACTTGGTCTATAGAGAAAAAATAACGCAAGGATCAGAAGGCACTTTCACAAATTCATCTTTCGAATAATATTTTTCAAGACGTTTTGAATGAGAAACAGTAGCTGCATTGTGGTTGAAGTTGAAACAATTGTGCATGATTAAGAGTCTGACAACCAAATTACATTTGAAATAGTATTTGTATTCTCATCGAATGATAAAATGCATATTGTTAGAAGATTACCTAACTGTCTTTAAAGTGATCGTCGCAAATTTAAAGACTTTAGAGGTAAAGTATGATGAACAGGATTTAGCCTTCATTTTTTCTGTTCATTGCCTGCTTCGTTTACTTCGTTAGGAGACACGATTTTATATAGTAATGACACTCTCGCCATTGAAGATATGTATGATGCTTTATTATTCATGATGGTCACGAAAGGGGCATGTTGAAATTTAATTTCGGTAATTAAGTTTTTTTATTGCAAGAAGAAATGGAACATTAAGATGGATTGCGGCATGTTGCAGAATAAAGGAAATTTGACAGGAAATCGGAAGGGAAAGAAGCAAAGGGATGAAATATAGTCAACGTACTATCACATATCAACTCTTATACTTTGGATTTTCAATCTCAGATTGAGATCCATTTTTGGCATAAGAAACGTTTGAACTGGATAAATTGTATTTCTGGACGATTTGTAGTTCTTTGAGTTAGCTTTTCAAAGCATTTTGAATCACCTCAATCGGATATTTGGATAGAAAGATGTGGCCAACATATTGAAAACTGTCAGGTGAAAGTTATCTACAGCTATGCGGTAGCATAGTTTAAATTCCATGCGGTCGCGAAAGATGTTTCAGCGAATTTCAGAGTCCAGTTTCAAAATTCTATGCGATCGCATGACTTACTACTATGCGGTCGCATAGTTCATTCCGGGCACGAAAATTATGGTTTTCGAATTTAAGTCAACTATTTATGGAAACAACTATAAATACATATTTTAAAACCCTAGAACAGGAGAATAACGTATAGAACGCCTCACATCTTCATTCTTCATTATTTTGCTCTTAGAGTCATGGATTGTAACTAAATTTTTACACTTGATCGAAAGAAATTGAAGTATTGGAATCACATATTGTGAGATCTAAATCTTATTATTTAATTCTTATTTTGCGTATTGCATGTCCTTCTGTATTTATTTCATGAATTGTTGCATTTAATTTCTATGAGGCTTACAGTTTGTTATTCGTTATAATCTACCATTAAATTGAATATCAAACTCGTAATTGTTTGATCTCCTTAACTTGTGAAGCAACTATGATTTAATTATTTCACGCGTCAGAAATTGTAAAATCTAGGGAAGAACATTCAAATAAATTAAATACAACCTCTTGTAAATATTATTTAGTTTCATCGATTTCTCTAATTGAACGTTTGACTTGATTAAATACAACCGCTTGTTATTGTGTTATTTAGTTTCATCGATTTCTCTAATTATTAAGACGGATACTAAATTAAACTCGTAGCGCTTGTCTTGGGTTGTTTAGTAATCAGGGTTAATTGGATCAATTGTTTTTTAATTAACTACAATTAAAGAGAAATAAAAAAATAATTCAAACGATGAATATTCAAAATATAAATTGAATCATCCTTAAATCTATGATCAATTGTGAATTTTCGACAATGAATGTGGATTTAGACAAATGTTCATCTTTTAATTGTTTTCGTTAATTTAATTTGTATTATTATTTATTGCGTTATTTATAATTATTTGCATACAAAACTCCCTAATTATTATACGAAGCATAAAATATTGAATTATACATTTTTCGTGGGATCGACATTTGCTTCCACTACTACATTAATTTTAGAGGTTAATGTATTATTTTTTAGTGTTTGTAACAACACACCATTTGGCTCGACTGGGGCAACATAATTTTTTTTTAAAAAGGCGGAACAACCTGAAAATAGTCAGATGTTAACAGCCGAATCCCACCTAATAGTCAACCGTTCCCGTAGTTAAACGTAACAAAATTTCCGTCTGTTTTTATCAATTAAAACGTATAAAAATTTAACAAAAACGAAATAAAACATACATAAAAATACTTGTCGATTCCATGTCCGTAGCACATATTATTCAGTAGTTGCTCCTCTTCAACTCGAAAGATCCACTTCCTGTTTCTGGGACCACTTTGCAAAGGGGAAAATGGAAGAAACTTGAAAATTATCAACATATTTGCATTTCTAAGCTAACAGCTTGTATATGTTCAAGTAAAAGGCCTTGCTCTGCTACTTAAACTACATATTTCTTTTTAGGATCTTGCAGAAGTTGTATCCGTAGAAGAACTTTCTCGGTATCTGGACCTCAAAAAATTGGATGAGAGACTTTACATATTTCAAGCTGTTTCGGTAATTAATGGGTAAGTAAATAAACCTTTTGAATCTGATTGAGTAGTACTGTATTACATGGACCTATTACTCGTGATATAGAAATACTTTTCAAAACAATCTGGAATTTGAAAGGCCAAGACCCACAAGTATTAGAATCAAGATACAAGAAACTTAAAATAACAGAAAACTAAAACTGCAATAGTAAATGAACACAAGAGATTTTTTGGCTTAAGCCTCAGAGGTTCGGTATAAACCTACTCCCCTATTGAGCATCCACAAAAGGATAACGCTCGGTTGCACTATACTGCCTTCAAACTGGCAACGAAGGTTACAAGGAGTTCAATCAACACAAAAAATATAGATTAGAGACTTACCTCTTCAAAGATTCAACAGATCTTGGTTGAATCACACAAGAATCACCAGATCAGATCTATCATCAACTACTACAAACAGAATCCAACAACTAGCAGATTTTCACACTTGGAAATCAAGTATTCTAAGGCTAACACTCGTAAATCATGAAAGAGAATAAAGGATTTACAATGAACAAATCAGACGAAAACCCCAAGTACAAAGAACTCTCTCGAAACCCTAATCCTAATCGTGAGAATGAGAAAAAGTGAGGTGAACAGTCGATT